TATATATATATATATATATATTAAATAATATAACAAACAATGTATGTCTATTATGTGTGATCATGAGCCATTCTAATGTTTAAACATTTGCTTTAATTTCTGGTGAAAATAAAGACAAAAATTGTCCAACATTTGGATATTTTTTTTATTAAGTTGGTCCTAAGCTTTTGGCTCGCATGAGCCATCCTCAGAGTGGTTATACAGACATGAAACAGATATCCACCTGCAACAGTGATATTTTGTTATTTTGACATAGAAAATTGCTATGTGACAATAAGTTATGGAATAGCAAACGCAGATTGTAAGTTCAAGATGCGATTCTATGATGTCATACCATGCTATAGACCAAAGTATTACAACAGACCCAATGTCTAGATGCAATATAATGTGTTGTGACTAGTTTGAAATGTAATTTTGTTGAGTGTGGGTTGCTTTGTTTTAATGTAAATGGCCTCCAATATCTGAAGGTTCTTTTACTGTGTGCATGTGTGAGTATTATTGTGTTATCAAATAATATCTATGAGAGAGCAACTGCAGACAAGATGCCAGATCAGTGCCAATTACATTGCATATCCATCTCTGGATTTTATCAAGGATCTTGAGACAAACAGAAGGGGCTCCAGACCATATATGGCAGCAATACTCCACGCAAGGGTGAATGGTTGATTTTGTAGATTTGAAGGATTGACTCAGGCAAGAAAAATTTCCTGGCATGGCACAGGGAACCAACTTTCCTTGCGGTGGACAAAGCTATTGACTCAGTGTATTTGATCCATCTCAGGTCAGCAGACATTATGAGACTGAGCAGTCACAAAGAGGTGCTCTCATGGAGTTGAGCGTCAGACATTCTAATAGGAGGCAGAGATGGTTCTCTGTGGTGAGTAATAGAGAGCAGTTTTGTTTTTGAGGCATTAAAGTTAACTAGCCAATACTTGCCCCAGTCCACAACCGATAGGAGGTCCTTTTCAAGTTGGGCAGCAACCTTTCTTTCAAGCTTGTTTTAATTGGAGACAAGGTAAAATTGTTGTTAATTTCTTTATATATGTATATATAGATAGATATATATTATACCCAAAAGCAGTTGGACAGAAATTTTAAGTTACACAAATGAAAAATTTACCTAAAAAAAATGGTCCCCTTTAACAGCCTCCTTTCAGATTGCAGAAATGACCTAAAATACTTGGTGTAGCTTTGAAGATTAGTGATTTTTCTTTGCTATTTTGTTCCATCAATCTAGTCAAAATTAGGGACCCAAATTTTTAAAAGATGAGTACTGATTCTAATACATATATCTACATTTGTGGGTGAAGTGTATTCAGTATCAGAAATAGTGTTTGTAGATAAAGACAGCTTGACAATATGGACTTAGAAATCAACATTACAAGGTGACTCTCAGTTTCATGCTTCAAGTGGTCTTCAAATATGAATGTGAAAACCACTTGAATATAATTTGCTAACCATTGGTTTATGTCAGTCACTCTAAGTGCTTTTGACATGTACACTTACACAAACAAATTAAATCTGAACTTGCTGGAATATTAAGATGTCATCTGATTTTCTATGTGTATAGTATTCTTCTTGACTATCTCCATACTTATATTTAAACATACCTTTATGGCAGCTGGTTCACTTTTGTGGATAAATATGCAGTTGATCATCATTTACGCAAAATCAAAGTTGATCCACCTCCTTACCCACTTGATATACAGCTGAACTTTGCCTTTGTTTATGAAAAGATAGCAATTCTGAAGATTTCAAAATGTCAACAAAGGAAGAACAGGAAAGGCACCAAAGAATGAAATGAAATAAACAAAAAGTTTCAATTACACTATACAGGTGGAAAGAAAGGGGTATTGAAACAATAAAAAACAATAAAAAACAAAAACTTTAGGGTGAAGTTCAGTGGGTGGGGTGGGGGGTTATAGAGAAATAAGATAGATAGGTTTGCCTATCATCCAGTTCACACTCTTCCTTGGGCTTCTGAGCAAGAGTAGAAGTTTTGTCCTTTGTTTCCTGGTTAGGATTGGGTTTTGGGTTCTTTCTAAAGTTTTTCCTTCTCTTTCACTTCCAGTAGCCCTTTGCGTCTTAGTGGTGTTATAACCTTGCTTGGGGTGAATTGATTAGAAAAAATATGCAAAGGATAGGAATAAAGTGTCACTACTGACACTTGAGTTTGAACATAGATCACCAGTGAACAATCAGGCAATCCCATTATTGAATTAAGTGGACCATGTGACCATAGAAAAAATACATAAGTAGGAAGTTGTGTGACATCTAACTGATCATCATTTCTAGTCTATCCTCTATTACTATTCGGATCCCCATTTCTAGTCTATACTATTTCTCTATACTATTCTCAATACTATTTCTCTATTCAGATCACTATACAGTGGTTACTGTTCAAGTGAGTATTATCAAGCAAGTACTGTTAGTGAGAGTGCTATTCAAAGGCGTCTGATACCAATATTGTTCAAAGTCCGTACTTTAGTAGTATCGGTGAGTACAAAGGTTCTACTACAACAAACATTATAAAAGTGGCAATAAGTGTTCGTTGACATCATAAAAAAATGTAAGGTGATGAAAAGTTTTTTCTTGTCAATCAAAAGAAAAAAACTACAACGTTCAAAATAATAATGAAAACTTCAAAGAACTAACAAATAATCACACACATACACACACACTCCAAGCAGATCCTGAATTTTTGCCTAGGGAGGCACCATGCCTTTAGTGTCTATTGGGATTTAAGCTCAACCCAGACCTCAAGTGGAACTTGTATATACAATCAATAAAAATGATATACAAATATACATCAATAAAAATGCTGGAAAAACAGTTGATTCACAGTACCACTCTAGTAAATACCTGACTCATTCTGGTGGGGGATTCAGATCTATGGATGTAGCAAGGGTCAGGTCTTGGTTGTAAAGGTCTGAGCTGGTAGCATAATTAATTTATTCATCACTGACACTGGCTTTTTTTCTATTTTGTGTCATATATGTAGAATGGATGCACACATGGAATGAACACACGCACACACACAAAATGATCACATGTATGGAAGGGACACATGCAAAATGAACAGGGACACACATGTGCATCAGAGGCAATATGCAACATACCACATGATGCATACATGCATTTACTGCACATTTACTGCAAATGTCTTAAATTAACTGAGCAGTTATTTTTAATAGCAATTTTAATCTAAACTATTCCATTATTATGGATATTTACTAATTTTAACTTAATCTTGCACAAGGCCACAATTAACAAGCACTTGGAAAAGATTTAACAGACTATTTTGTTACTTTATTAATCATTTAACACATGCTGAGGTGCCCAATTTTAAATAGATATAACACCTTAGCACACCAGAATAAAGTTGAAAGGTGCTATACATTCCCCATAAATGATTGAAACTATTTGCAGTGTTGTCTATGAAAAGAGTGATAATAATGGTGACATAGTCTATTTTTGAAAAATCCAGGAAATTTAGTATTGTGTCCATAAAAAAATACATAAATAAAAAATTAATTATACTGTCACTGTGTCATGTCCACCAAAAAATAAAGAAATAAAAATGAATTATGGTGTCAAAAATGAGAATTGACCCCACTTTTCTCCTCTACACGCATAAACACATGAAATTCTCACTATTGAACAAGCAGTCAACATGGACAGGCTGTCAATATGTGTGCCAATGAAAATTTAATCTCCTTTTCCTTTCTCAGGCCATAATAGTAACATTTATGTTTTAGCACTTAACAAAAATTTGAGGTAAGAAAACCCCAGACACTTCTTGTATTTTCCAACTAAATTATCTGAACACTCATTACACACATACAAGAAAGGCTGTATACACTTTATTTATTCTTTATCTCATTATTCTGTTAGATTCCAATCCATATTTGATCTACATTTGACCCCAAACTCACAATGTTACTCAGTATTAATGTCTCTCAGTGTACCAAATACAAACCAGATAAAAAATAATACTTGTTTTGTTCTTTCCGCGTGTTGCTGTTTCTTATTTTTTGTATATATAGATGTAAGGAGGTTTATAATTATTTATTCACTTATAACTCCCCTACAATAAGAAAAAAAATTCTCTTTTATTTTCTTTCTTTTGGTTCATTTTTGGAACAATTCCCAGTGAAAAGTGAGCAGTTTAACAAAAAAAAAACATAGTTACCATGAAAAGAAATGAAAAAAAGATCTTTCAGTTTTGTCTTTTCAAAAACTATAAAACCTGTAAAGCTGAATCACACATTAGAACTGCTGGGATAGGAGACAATGAGTGGAAATTGTTCTCAATTTATCTATAGGCTTCTTTTATTTTATATAGATAACTTTTTATATCTCAATGTACATGTATCTATTTATTTCGCTATCCTAAATACCTATTACCTATCAATCCATCCATCTAGCTCAATCTCTATCTATCTATCTATCTATCTATCTATCTATCTATCTATCTTTTTTTGTCTATTATTATCTATCTGTCAGTCAATCCATGTACCTTAGATTTGTATTTTCTTTGGTGATCTCTAAGTTCCACTCAAGCAGCTTCTTTCGATAAACTGCTGCTTTGTGGAACTAACTCCCAAAAGGATTCTTTCCCCAATCACTACAATCTTAACTTGTTCAAGTCTAGGCTTACCCATTATCTTTCCACATATCCCCATAAACTATGCCTCTTGCTCTGTAACTCTCTATCTCAAGTGGCTCTTGGGTCTTATACAGGGTGAACATTATCATAAAAAAAATCTTTTTTGTTAGAATTTTTCTTTTTTGGGGATGATGGTGGTGAATATAACAAGGATTTAGTGATACAAGTCTTGCTAATTAACCCATACCTGGAGGCAGAAGAGGTAGATTCATACTTTTCCTAAGGGTATTTGCATATTAGTGAATATAATGAACCCAACTGAAATTGGAACTCAGCTCTTTGATTAACAATCTTGAGCCATTATCCATTAAACCACCTGAGCATGAAAGCTTATAGCACCTGGCATTTCCATGCAGTCACCCATCAAGTTACTGACCAGGCTCAATGTTGCTTAACTTCAGTGATCATACAGGAACCACTGTTTCAACATGACATGGTTGTAAGCCTAATATAAAGATATAGTTTTTTGTCTATGGATGTTTTAAGGAATGCTTCTTGTAGGATATTTAAATGTTCTTAAATGTTAAATGTTCTTAAAATATTATTCATTGTTCTTAAAATGTTGTTAAATCTTCTTAAATATTATTAATTCTTCTTAAATGTTATTAAAAATGTTCTTAAATGTTATTAAAAATGCAATATTAAAATGTTAATTAAATGTTATATTATAATTGTTAGAATATATCAAATATGCAAAGAAATATATTAAAATATTAATTATGTTATATTAAAAAAGTTACAATAAAAATGTGTTATTAAAAATGTTATATTAAACATGTTATAATTAAAAAAATATAAAAAAAATGTTGTTAAACATGTTTAATTAATGCAGGAAATTAAAATGTTCTTGTAGGATATCTAAGTAAATTCAAATATAAACAAATTATAGGATATTAAAATAGTTCATATAAAGATATAGTTTTCACTCTATTCCAAATATGAACCTTAATTGGAAAAGAACTCCCCCTGACTTTAAGGAATGTATTAATAATTTACATTATTTACATGCAGACTATTGTTCTCAACTTTGTCATTATTACACAATGTTTTGGCTGTTGTGGTCTCCAACCTTCAGTAGGTGCTTGTTGATCCAGGTAATTTTCAGGAAATTTCAAACTAAACTCTTCATTTAATCTACCGAAAATAGATTGTTCTCATTCTGATGTCGCTGACCATGGATATCTCTTCTCGTTTTTCGTTAGTACTGCACAATTAAAGCTCATATTGTTCCCTATGAATCCAGGTACACATTGAACTCATAATTAATATGTCACTAAATTCACAAACCAACACTTAAATCCAATAGGCTATATCCTATGGGACAACAGTCAAAACATTGTGATGGCAACAATAAAGATGAGGACAATAGTTTGCATGTAAATAGTATAGATCAGGATATGCATATTTTTATAACAACAGGTTCACATATATCATGCTTATTCCATGAAAGGCAATGAATATTTGATCGCCATCCCATCATATTTGAATCTTTTGTCACCTTGCTTTAACACTTGCGGCCCTGGCAGAGTCTAGAACATCAATGGTGAGTCAAAATATTTCATTTAGAATGTTTTTGTGTTCAGAAAAGCCAACAAGGATCACAAGTGAGTATATTGAAAATTTTTGTTTTTTTACAATGATGTCCACTCTGTACATGACTTAAGAGTCACTTGAGGTAGAGGCACCATTCAATGCAAGCACATACATACAGGTTTTAAAATGTATACACCTATATGTATGTGTGTCTATGTATGAGAGTGTCATCCCAAACAAACATGGAAGAAAATTCACCCCCTCCATCACACACAAATAATCAAACACAAATATGCATAAATGGATCCACTTTTTAAAAAATAAACCAGTTTATGAAACCCAGGGTTACAAGCTAATATCCATACAATTGAATATGTTAGCTCTATCACTGATATTGAGCACTTTCCACTAAGCACCATATATATATATATATATATATATATATATATGTATTGGGAAGAGGTTATAGTTGTTCCAATGAGAGAAAAATGTATATTTTAAAAAGAAGAGAGAATCTGCAAAGGTTTTTGGTTGTAATGTGGATTTTTTTAAAATATATATCATATTTTATTTTTCATAATTTTGCTACATGAGTTTCAGGCAAAGAGTGGGTATTTCCACATATTATTAAAATGAATTAATTCTCCTTATGGTTTTCAATGTTAAACATTCTCTTTTTTTTGGATACTAATGACACAGATGTCTTTCTTGGACTGGTGGTAAGAAAGTTCTTCTGCTTAAAGGGTAATAAAACAAGATTGGTTCGAGAAAGTGTGTAAAAAGATATCTGTATTCTTATCTTTTAATGATCGCTATATGTTCTTAGATCTATTTCCATTTTTGTGTATTGTGTGTGCATTTTTGCTAGTATGTGTATGTATATTCCCTCTCCATACATACATACGGTCTTATTATAAGGAATTAGTATATACATATACGTATATACATATATATACACCCCCCCACATGCACACATATATGCATATGCACAGACACACAAATATACACATATATACATACATACACACAGACACACAAATATAACCCCCCCCTATATATATATATATATATATATATATATATATACACATACACATACTTCCCTATGTTGTGTTGGGTTCATGTGTTTGCTTGTGAGTAGTATGTGGCAATATCCACTCTTTGCCTGAAGCAGGTTGTGAGACCAGAAACTCATGTAGTAAAATTATGGAAAATAAAGTATAATAGATATATTTAAACAAAAATCCACATTACAGCCCAAACTATATATATATATATATATATATATATATAAAAAAGTGAGAGAGAGATATGGACAGACTGAAATAGATAGATATGAGCAGAAAAAAATAGATGAACATGAACAGAGGGATAGATAGCCAAAGTGAGATAGTGTCTATGTTTCTGAGATGAAGTATTGTATCTATTTACACTAGTTACATTGTTTGGACTGTAGTTCTAAATTTCCATGACATCTTGTGAAATATAGTAGAGTAGTTTCCATTGACTTCTGCACAATTTGAAATTCAGAGTTGTCCTCCACCATGACTAGCTGCCACCCAAGGCTCAATCGTCTACCTGTTTAGCCTGTTAATTATCTCATAGCTGATGGAGAAGAGCTGGATTCATGCCTTTCCTTTCATGCAATTGTCTGAAAGTGAATGCAACAGACTTGAATGGAACTTGAAAGTTGGAACTTGGCTCACCAACTCTTTTTTTCTGTACTGATATCCATCAAATATTAGTCCTGCCCTGTAATTCAAACCATTGCCAATTTTCTTTTTTTTTTCATTAATGTTCACCCAATACAAGGCCCCAAGAGCCACTATAGGTAGATGGTTATTGTGTGATGTTGTATGAGCATAAGAAAACCAAGAAGTGAATGTTCACCCAATACAAGGCCCCAAGAGCCACTATAGGTATATGGTTATTGTGTGATGTTGTATGGGCATAAGAAAACCAAGAAGTGAATGTTCACCCAATACAAGGCCCAAAGAGCCACTATAGGTAGATGGTTATTGTGTGATGTTGTATGAGCATAAGAAAACCAAGAAGTAAATGTTCACCCAATACAAGGCCCCAAGAGCCACTATAGGTAGATGGTTATTGTGTGATGTTGTATGAGCATAAGAAAACCAAGAAGTGAATGTTCACCCAATACAAGGCCCCAAGAGCCACTATAGGTAGATGGTTATTGTGTGATGTTGTATGAGCATAAGAAAACCAAGAAGTGAATGTTCACCCAATACAAGGCCCAAAGAGCCACTATAGGTAGATGGTTGTGTGATGTTGTATGAGCATAAGAAAACCAAGAAGTGAATGTTCACCCAATACAAGGCCCAAAGAGCCACTATAGGTAGATGGTTATTGTGTGATGTTGTATGAGCATAAGAAAACCAAGAAGTGAATGTTCACCCAATACAAGGCCCCAAGAGCCACTATAGGTAGATGGTTATTGTGTGATGTTGTATGAGCATAAGAAAACCAAGAAGTGAATGTTCACCCAATACAAGGCCCAAAGAGCCACTATAGGTAGATGGTTATTGTGTGATGTTGTATGAGCATAAGAAAACCAAGAAGTGAATGTTCACCCAATACAAGGCCCCAAGAGCCACTATAGGTATATGGTTATTGTGTGATGTTGTATGAGCATAAGAAAACCAAGAAGTGAATGTTCACCCAATACAAGGCCCAAGATCCACCCAAGGTATATGGTTACTGTTTGGTAACATGAACATAAGAAGGTGCCAAAAGTGCAGTTCTTGAGGTTATGCCAGATAGATAATGGTTAACTCTAGACTTGAAAATATCGACAATTAATTAATGAATAACAATTCAGAGTTCAGTCAGAGGTGTTAGAAGTATGGAGTTGACATAGACTTTAGAAGGAACCGGAAATCTAATCCTAAACAAGAAACAAGGGATAAACCTCTACTCCTGTTCAAATGACTGGGGTGGAGTGTGAACCAGACGGTAGGCAAACCTATTTACTACTATGTACTGACACCAGTGGTTGATGTTCAAACTTAAGTAAAAGCCAGGATTTCATCTGCTGATGTTCAAAGCAGAAAAGTAGGCCCTACTCAGTCAGGAAATGAATTTAAAAAAAAAAATCACCCCCTAACTACCACAGATTGCTTTGTACTTTGTACTAAATTAATGTGCATGTATTTAGGTAGCTTCATGAACAGGTAGACAATGAGGTATGCATCAATGAATGTAGGTGGAACAGAAAAAGACATGGCATATTGACTGCAAAAGATAAAGAATCTTCCCAATTAAACAAAAATGGTGAAGCACGATTTTCTTTTCTTATTTGCCTCCCATCTGGCCTCGTGATATACTAAGCTCAACTCAGTAAATATCCAGGAGGACAAACAATTAAAAAAAAAAAAAAAGAATGAAAAAAAATCATAAAGAAAGATAGTAAGGAAAATTATAGAGAATGAACATGCACACACACACACACACACGTACACACACATACACACACACACATATCTCACTCTGCTTGTAGCTGTCTATCTTTTTAAATTTCTATTTAACTATCAATCCATACACCTATCCTCGTCTGTTCATGTCTATCTATCTATCTATCTATCTATCTTTTGAATATAAAACTAGCTTTCCAATTTGATTTACAAAAACTTAAATACAGTGTCAATCATTATTTTTGTTTTTTTAATTCCTGTTTTTTTATTGTTCAGAGAGAACAATAAAAAAACAATAATAATAATAATGTTTTTCTTTTTCTTATATTCTTTTACACTCAGTAACCTTTTGCATCTTAGTAAATGTATTGCCTTGCTTAGGAGTGAAATGATTTGTTTCTTTCTCAATCTCTGTATTTTTCTATCTTAGTATGCCTATATCTCTCCCTCAAAGGCAGACAGATAGATACTCTACCTA